TGATTGGAATATGCAGGGGATTCAGGGCGTCGCAAACATTACTTGAAAATATTTATACTCTTCCCGCGCAAAGAGTATGAGGAGGAACCACAGCAGCAACAGCGTGTGTGAAGAGTAATGCAAGGTATATACTGTATAAGGTGAGGTTCAACTGTCTATCGAAGCACCTACCACAAAAGCATGCGTCGATTGGTTGCGCCTGCACAAACACAAAAGAACATTTCGATCAATGTTTGATGTCGAATCGAACGCAACTGAAAATGCGCCACCTCTCCTCCAAGATAGTATGCCCTTGAGGCGTTAGGTGTGAGTGTGTGTGTGGGAGCGAGAGTATTTACATACATGCATCTTTCATCTCGCTTGCACTGGTTGCCTTTTTTCGCACGTCCCTTTTGGTGCTGTGCTCCTATTGCGTATGCCTGTTTGTTTGAGTGTGTGCTAATTTAGGCATCTTTTGTTTTTTGTGCCGTGCCTGAAATGACACACATGCACGCGTGCAGAGTGCTGGCCGTGTGGAGTGTGTGTGTGGGAGAGGGTGATAGCTAGGAGCGGGAAGAGACCGAGAAAGAGAATCACATTAGAGAGTTGGATGAGACGCGTTAAGGTTCTGTGCATACCCTTTAATGCCAAGACATGTACAGAAATATGTACACACATACATATGTCTGTATATAAATGAAGATATCTTAGGAACGGAAACAAAATTGTACACATTTAACCCTTGAAAGCCAATGTTATTTGTTAACACTGTTTCGAGCCAAATAAAACAGATGATCGGTAAACCTATTGTATATTATTGTTATATACCCTACAAATGCGAATGTACTTGTAAAAAAATATCAAGAACCAAGCAAAATACGATGCATTGTCCGGGTGCAAAAAGAAGCGCCAGGAAACGGCAAATGGGAAATGTAGCAAGGGAGGAGGAGGACGTGGGAGAATGCAATAAGCCCGTTCCATTTTTTTTCCTATTTTATTCTATGCTGATGTTATGCCTGGCACCCCATACATTTATCCACAGATATTTCTTTTTCACAACATCCATTTGTGCATATGTACATTGATAGCTGTTGTGGTTGGCGTGGGTGAACTTCTGGTCTGGATTTGTTAGGGCTTACGGAGGAGCCGTTAAGAGCCATTAAAAGCGTTGCCTGCTGAACGTTAGGAGTAGCGCCGCTATCGATATTCTTTATTCTCTGCTGCTCCTCGGACTGCCGTCCCACTCTAACACACGCATGCAGCCCATCGAACTCTTCTGTCGAGCTCTGCATGTCATGCCATCCTTTTCTAACGCACGTTGGGCTTATGGTTGCGATCTTCTTCTTTCGAACTCGCGACCTGTCTGCCATTCTTCTTTCGCGCATTTGCACAAAGAAACGAACTGGGTCGGGAGTCATTCGTTATCCGCTGCGCTGGTGAAACATAGAGCAATCGAGACGAGTGGTGGACGCATTTGCAGAATTCATTAAAATCACTTTCAATCCATTTCAAACATGAGTAATAATCTGGACACTCGTGTGAAATTCACTTATGTGGTGGACGCCGGCAATGAGTTTGTGTGCAAGGCAAAGTTCGTGAAGTTATGTGGCTATGGAGATGGTAAGTGATTAAACTGAAACAGCTTGAAATGTTTCTGCCATTTTTTGCTTAAATTATTTCTCCATCCGCAGCTGCTGACGCACAGAAGGCTCAAAAAATGGCTTGTTCCAATTTATTTGCGAAGATGAAAATACTTCGCCAATACCAGGGAGATACGATTGGCGCCATGCACGAGCTGGATAAAGAAATTTGTCAAAAATATAATCTGGCGCTGGAAGGTGCTTTCGAATAATTCGGCACAGCACTGGCACACATCAGCCCCAAAGGGATCTCAAAACTAGAATTATATTTGTTCCTTACATTTGTTCCTTACATATGTTCAAATATATGCATAATAACAAAAAAAAAAGCGCAATCACTATTGAATGAAGGGCACCAATTCGGCGCCTCGCCGCGAATTCATAAGAAAAACACAACACAAGCCATGTGTGTGTGTGTATTCATACATACATACACGCTGTCGCCAGGCAGATTTGTGCTTAAAATTCGTTACGAACTCTCGCTCGTTCCTCTCTCGCTCTCTCTTTCTCTACCACTCCTATGCCGGCAGCCGCGAACGTTCTGTTTACAGCGTTTCTTTTCACTGCTGGCACATACATACATACAAACATGTGTTTTTGAGTCGAAATCTACTGGAATTCATAATCAGATTTCAAGTTTCGCGCTCGGTGCAATATTTACACGCACGATTTGATCACCCTTTGGGTATTGTGGATGAAAAGTGTAGTGTTTTTTGTTTTCAGTGTAAAGCAGTGTAACTGAATCAGAGAATCAGTGGAAAATGTAAAAACAAAAAACTAAAATGGCCACGGAAAAACTGAACTGGGAAGCCAGTGGCAGTCCAAAGCGGATCGGCGCATTCAGATCTTTGGTTTTTATTTGTGTTTTATTGCAGGCAACTTTACTGCTTTCTCCATTCGCGGCAACAGCTGCGGCAATATCTGCGTCTCAATCTGCCCCAGGAAACCAACAATACAGAGGCTTCGGGGGGTCTTGCTCCTCTGCTCAGGGATGCCTTGGCACTGGCCCACCGCCCTCCAGAGGTACTACGCTATGGAGCACAATCATCGAAACATCGTCCAGGCGGATCAGTATTACTTTCTGGTCTTGGCCATCCTGGCAATACCGCGGCCCTGGCTGGACAAGCGCCGCCTGCTGGTAACCATCAAGCACAGCCACGAGCTGCATCGTCGCGTCCTGGGGCATGTGGGCCCCATTGAGGTCTCTGCTGATGAAACGCTTCAAACAATGGCTGAATGGCAAGCACACCAGCAGCAGCTTCCTGCAGCCGCTGCCCACCTCAAATCGGTGCTAATGTGGGCCGGTCCGGCTATCGTTAGCCGCCCGTAATCATACCCAAGCAGCAGCGTACCAAGTACCATAATCTTCTGCAACTGGCAACTGGCCAGTAGGAGTTCGTTCGTTTGCGCGTTTCATTTTGAATGGCATGAAGCAGACGCTAATCCTGTACCAGCGATCAGGAACAGAGAACGAGGCATCACACCTGCGAGTATTAGTTGCACTCAACGCAGCAGAGGCTGTGTATGGATGGATGGGAACCCTGCCCTGACCACCGATTGGAGCCAACAAAAATGTATTATTTATTTAGTTTGTAGATTTGCATAAGTATGTTTAGTATGTCAGTGTGGAATGAGCCTTCGCCCGTGGCTTCCTCCCCCGGGAATGCCACAAAGTTATGCTGCATGCGACGATCTGCCCCCCACACCCCACACTCTTCAAAATGTCATCAGCTGTGTGGCCAGAAGTACACACTTTTCGGTTTTCCCTTTATTTTTTTCTTTCCTTTTGTTTCTTGTTTCGTTTTTTGTACTTTTTCTTTTATCCTTTTTCTGTCTGTCGGGGGGGGGAAAAGGGCGGGTCAGCCCCCCCCCGGAGCCCGCGCCGGCCCCCCCGGGGGGAGAGAGAATATAATTGGAACGGGGGGGGCGTGTGTTTTTTTTTTTCGTTGTTTGGTTGTTCGCTTAATGCAACGAATATCGTTTTACGGGCGTTTTCAGGTTGCTGTTGCACGTATGTACATACGTGCAATATTTGCGAATTTTCCACTTGCTGCATGACAGTGAGGATGGGTGGCGGTTGGTGGGGGGGGGGGTAGAGTGAGGCGTTAGCAGAATGGCGGAAATTTTCCCACTTTTATTGTTTTTAAAACGCTTTCCAATTTTTAGCTGCTCTTCGCTTATTTCTATTTTGCTGCTGCTGCTGGTGCTGGTGCTCTCTGGTTTTGTTGTTACCCTTTCCACGGGGTATAGCCGGACCCTGATCTCTGAGCTTGCAACGTAACAGAGGGAAACCATCATTGAAAAACTGCCTGCAAATATCTGGAATGATTTTCTTGTGGCTTTTTTCTAATCGCAGTGCCCATATAAATCGTCTAAATATTGAACACACGTCTGGCTAGCGTCGGAATTGGCATTCAAGAAGGGCATCAAATGCCTCGCCAGTTGCTTCTTTCGTTCGTTTCTATTTAGTTTGTTGTTGTTTAAGTTGCAATTGCAATCGTAGTTTTATTTAACGCGCAATTTGTCTGCTCTGGGCGAGAGGCACTCGAAAGGATGGGCTGGTGGGGGTGGCCTTTGAGGCCAATGGTGATGGTGGTCCGATAACATTTTCGCCTCCCACAACCCACCGCCCCCCGCTCTACACACTCCACAAAGTGAATCAAAAGAAATAAGCAAAAAAGCCCCGAAAAAATCCGAAATTGAAAACCAAATAAATAAGTGAGCTTTCTCTCTCTATCTTTCCTTCACTCGTTGGGTAGGTGTGTGTGTGTGTGGTTTGTGGAAATGTAATTTGAGACAAAATATCCGAGTGGCTGTGGCAAGACAAAAACTTGGACAACGCTTCTGAGGGCTTCTGCTCGAAGGGATAGGATGCGGAATGGCATCCATTTGCGGCACTTCTCATTGGGTCTCCCAATATCATTATCCTTATGGGATATCCCCTAACCACATATGTACATATGCATTGAAACATTATATCAAAGCACTTAAAGGGATACGTGGAAATGTTCCGATTGTGCAATTAGAATTCTAGAATATACATAGATAGTATGTGAATGGTTCTCTAAGCTTCGCCCTTTCTGTTCTGTTTTAAGTCAGTATCTATCTCTCTGTTAATACAGAGTTTTCTTTAATTAATATTCCAACAACTGCGAATGAAAATACGAACTAAAATGCCTTAAATATATATGTACCTAGCGCTTGGAGATAGCCATAATAGCCATTCGAAAAAAAGATTCTAGGCACTTGGCTTTAATACTCTGTAAGCTCCCAGCCCATCCAGCTCCCACCCCACAGAGCTGTAAGCTGACTAAACTATTTTTGGATTTTGATTTTTTAATTACTATCTCTCTCTCTCTCTCGCTCTCTGTCACTTTGCAGTTGCTGCGTACTCCTGAGGGGCCAACGGATCTGTCAAAAGTGCAATCGGAATTGGAATCCTATTTCGGAATCAACAAGCTCTCAAGTGCTGTGCTCTGGTCCGTGGGTTATAGGCACCAATTTCCAATTGGAGGCTGCCTTTTTGGTTGCCGCCTGCAGCAATGACAATGTCATCGACGCTGATGCTAACGCTCGCCGAGGCAGCGGAGGCCATGGGGACGGCAACGACGGCGGCGGAGGCATTGCAGTCCTCAGAGGAGGCAACAACAACATTGCCCGAGGCGGGCGTTGAAATGTTCTCGGATGCGGATATGGCGGAAGTGCGGCATGTTGTGCAGCGCATTTTGGTGCCGTGCGTTTTTGTTATTGGACTATTGGGAAATTCAGTGAGCATTTATGTTTTGACGCGGTAAGTGCACTTGTCTCTATCCCACCCCGCTTAGCCCACTCTCCCACTCTCTGTCCCGTCCTTGTATGCTGGGGGATTATGTTGGCCCCAGTCGATTCGGCAATGGAAATGGAAATGGAATGGGCGTGGCCATTCAGCAGTGTTATTTTATGCATTCTATGTATGCCTCATTCCCTCTGCCTCTCTCTCCTCTCTCTCTGTGTGGTTGAGTACAGTGAAACATGGCACTGAGCGCACAGGTACGCAGCACATTAAACACGGCATTTAATTGTAGCCACGTCTGCACTTTAAATTCATTCCCCAACACCCGACAACAATAGCCAGCCAGCCAGCCAGCCAGCCACCGCCATTTTATGTGATGCTTCAAATGCAAAAACCCTTTGGTAGCGACTATTGATACCCTGTTTGAGTGTATTTAAAATTTATAAAGCTTAGCTTAGTGGCTATAATTTCTTGCACAAATATTTCTTGCTATTTTCCTGCAAATATTCCCAGTTATTTAATTAGTTTCTTCGCCTGTCATTGGGGGGTATCAAATGCTTCGTTAGCCAACCCCACCCCATGGCTGGTCTCTTTTCCACCGTTTTCTTCTTCTGTTTTTGCTGCTGTTGTTTAACAGATAAGGGATCCTGGGGGGCCGGGGGCACGGTTGCAAGCTTGCAGATGAGTCCGATTCAGTGGCTGTTTTTTTTTGGTGCTGCTGCGATTGTTGTTTCGGTGCTGCGAAATATGCGACTGTTGTGTGTGCCCTGCACTTGCACCTGCAGCTGCAACTGCTGTGTGCACTGTCTCTCTGTGCTGCAAATTTTCCATGCAAATCAGAGCCCTGGGTTTCCCAATTAGCTGCCAAGACGCTTGCCTGCCAATGTCTGGCAGGGTAATTCAAAGTGCGACCTGACTGGGCCAGCCCCATTGTGTGGGTGTGGCTGTGTGTGTGTGGCAGGCCACAACTAAATGTTGAACAGTTAGTTTTAATTATTGTGCCATCTTTTGCCTTTATGACTGTGCCGACATTTGCGTGAATTTTTCAAAAAAAATTACCATCGTGCTTTCCATTGCCTGACTGCTGGCTGCCACCACCCACGCCAGCCATGCCCCCCGCTGACTCGCCATTGCTTTCGGGCAATTTGGTATTTCAATTGGTGTTGCATTTTGGCAACGTTTGCATTGTCCACCAAATTGTTTGGCCTGATTTCAACAGCGCAGCATTCAGCGATACAAATGCAGATTCAAATCAGATGCAGATACAGATACAAAATGCACACAGAGATACATGCAGACCAGTGCAGATGAGAGTGAGAGAGAAATTTCTATTCTATTCTATTTATTTTTTTGTTGGGATTTGATTCTTGTCGCCATTTAGGAAGCGCATGAGGTGCACCACAAACATTTATCTAACGGCTCTGGCAATTACGGATATTGCATACCTGACCTTTCAATTAATCCTCACACTCCAGCACTACCAGTACATCAAGTACCACTGCGAGATCTATTGGCTGCTTTACGGATACTTTGTCTGGCTGTGCGATGTCTCAGGTGAGCCAAACAAAAAAAAACATGCAGAAATATATTTATTAAGGGTATATCCTGAGTGAGTGGCTTTATTGGGTGGATTCCTTGGGTAAAATGAAATCATTTTTGGCATCGAAGGGATAAAAGTCCAAGCGGAATGGCAATCATCCTTCCTGCATGCTCCACCATTGGCCATGCATCAAGGTTGTGGGGTGGCACATCAATTGGCATTGCACCTGCGGCTGGGGCTTGGTGTTGCTGCTGCTGCTGCTGCACTGCTGCTGTGCATCAATTTCATTGAGCTCTCTGTCAATTTACGATGCAAAGTTAGCGGCGCCCTTCTGCCAAATGCTACAGCGGTCGGTCAGTCAGCTGCGGCTCACAGCAATCCGAAAAGCTATACGAACAGGGAACCCAACAGGGGACCTCCTCCCACCCGCCCGCGGAGTGCGTGGCTCATCAGCGGGGACGGCCACGTCAATCGTTTAGAGTGCGCAACGTTTTGAATAAAAATTGACAGGCATTCGCCTGTCTGTTGGCCGTGCCGAGGGACGAAGCATCTAACAGCTGCAGCAGGGGGGGGGGGGCCGGTAGGGGGATGGCCAAGTGATTGTCTAACCAGCTCTCCTCTCTCTCTTTCCACGCTCTCTGTTGGTGTGTGTGCCCCAGCGTACATCTCCATTTACATAGCCGTGTGCTTTACCATAGAGCGCTTTATCGCGATACGATATCCGCTGAAGAGGCAAACGTTCTGCACGGAGTCCCTCGCCAAGAGGGTGATATCAGGTGAGTGCTGAGATGGCATACCCTTGGGTAACATATCCTTTGACTGCACACCCCCCTACCCTCCACCCGCATCTGTGGATCTACGCATCATCATTTTGACAGCCGTCGCCCTGTTCTGTTTGCTGTCCACGCTCTCCACCGCGTTCGAGCACACAATGAACATCGAGTGGAAGTTGATTGATGACGCCTACAAGCCATGCAATCAAACCCCGGCCAATGTCTCGCCAACGCCCTCGCTGCCAACGCCAGCGACTGTGTGGCAGCTGCAGGAGGAGGAGGATGATGACCCCCAAGCGACCACCATCAGCAGTGCTGCAACGTTTCCCCTCTACGACGGCAGTGGCAACAGTGATGGGCAGTCAGGTGAGTAAACGTTTACACTCCCCTTCCTCCAGATTCGCTACATGTGATAGCGCAACTACAATATTTGCTCTCCTCCCCCTCCTTCCGCTTGCCGCTTACTGCAAACAACAGGCAACATTCCACGACAGCAGCAACAGCAACAGCGCCGGCACTGGCCATCATCTGTGACGACGCCGCCGCCGGGACTGAGTGAAACTTTAGATGCCACCCAGCAGAGTTCAGACTCCCAGGAGCAGGTCACGGAGAGTCTGCTGCAGCTGCCACGCGCCGAACGCAGCGGGGACTTCAATCACTCGGATGCATTCGCATTTAATGTAACGCAATATTGTCAAAATGTGAGTGGAAAAATGACCTCCCCAGAGGCGCTAATCCACCAAGAAGCTGAATAATCAGCAGAACGTCTGGAAGAGTGTGGCCCTGCCCTGGATTCTGTATTTATCCTTTGTCTGCTCACGTTTTGCACTTGTTGTATCCCCTAGATGACTGTCTTTAAGCACATTTCGTCGGATTTGGGCAACAACGATCTGTATACGAACGCCTGGAGCATGTTCACGCTGGTGGTGTTCGTGCTCTGTCCCCTGTTCCTGCTGGCCACGTTCAACAGTTTCCTCATCCTGCTGGTGCATCGCTCAAAGAGTCTGCGCGGCGATCTGACAAATGCCAGCAGCATAAGACGCACCAAGGTGAGATGGCATCCCATGGGACGAGCACACAGCCAACCTTAAAGCTTCCTCCGCTGCTCCGTTTCTCCGATTTCAGCGCAAGTCAAACACTGGACTCACGGGCAGCGTTTCCCAGGAGAATCGTGTCACAATCACCCTGATCGCCGTCGTTCTCCTGTTCATCGTGTGCCAGCTGCCGTGGGCCATCTATCTGATACTCGAACAGTATATGAAGATAGCGCCGGGTGCCCAGGTGATTGCCGGCAATGTGTGCAATCTGCTGGCCGCCCTCAATGCCGCCTCCAATTTCTTTCTCTATTGCGTGCTGTCGGACAAGTACCGGAAGACGGTGCGCGAGCTGATCACGGGCTATCGCTATCGTCGTCGCCATGCCCGCAACAATACGAGTCTCTATGTGGGCCACCACACCACCACCACGCTGACGCACATCAATGGCGACCATCATCATCATTTACATCATCATCATCATGGGGGTGGGGCTGCTGGTGCGCCGTACAGTGGCGCAGCTGGCAGTCGTCGCAGCTGCAGTCGGAGTCGCAACAAGGCGGCGGCCACGGGTCGCCTGATAGCGTGAGAGAAGAGTCACGACGCGTGACTGAATGAGCGTGAATCGAGCCGAGCCGAGCCGAGCGTGAGGTTGCTCTCACGAGTAATGGGGCACTCAGCAATGAGCCACGATCGAGAGAACTGACACACCGCCTGCGTAGCATAGTGAGAGTAGAAAATATGTGATCAAGCATCACAGATGATTGATTGATTGATTGAGTGGATAACTCTAACGTTTATCGCAAGCCAAGCCTGAGCAGTGCAGTGCCTTCAGTTTGTTAGTTTGTGATTCTGTCTCTCTCTCTCCTTTATATATTACCTAATATAAAGATTATATAACATACATTGTGCCATAATGTGATGATTATAGTTTTATGCTAGTTAACCTAAACGTAATTGTTGTCCTAAGTACTAGACAAATCAAATACAAAAAACAAAACAACAAAAAAAGAAAAACAACCAAGAAAAGTTTCAATCTCCGTTTTCCGGCCAAGAGTGGGACAAAGAAGATACCACATCCGATATCCGTTATCCGATCTGTCAGCAGCTGTAAGAGAGAGAGAGCCAGCCTATGGCGGAGCCACATGGAGGTGGCTTTTGTTTTGCGATAACTGAAGTGTGGATAACCCGCAAGCCCCAATTCTCTGGCCATCTTCATTGACACGGCACAGCGTCAGCGTCAGTGTGTGTGTGTGTGTGTGTGTGTGTGTGGCCAATACCTAATTGAATGCCAGCCAAATCCACAAAAACGAGGCCCAAAAACAGAAACAGCTACAGCTACAGCTGCAGCTGTAGTAGGGGCCCTCTCAACAGCTCCAGCTAAGCCGATAATTGAAGGTGCAGGCAGGACTGGGGCTGGTGGCCCTTCGGGGCAGCACTCTCTCTCTCTCTTTGGCACTGGCCACTGGGATAATTGGTTTGGGCAGCGCGCTGGGGATGCGCTCTGAATAGAAATCCAAACTGCAAACTGAAAACTGGAAACTGGCAAAAACAGCTACAAATAAAAGTGGAACATTTTTGTTTTTAGTATGGCCAAGAGGGCTCTAGCAGCGGCAGCAGCGGCAGCAGCAGCAGCAGCGGATTAGTGGTAACTTAAATATACGCAGAATCATCGGAATGGAATCCCACACAGATAATACAGAGGTACGAGGCACACATGGGCTGGTAATGGAGTGCCAACACACATTTGCCGCTTATTCTTTCCTGGAACGAAAGTTTGCAACACTTCCGCCTCAAATAATGATGCAATTAAATTACTTTAAATTACATTTTGAGGCTGGACTTTCAAAGCAGCAGAAGTAGAGCCAAGAATCATTTTAATCTGCTAAATCTGCCTGCGTAAAATGCTGCAATTTGCCAAAGTAGTTTTGGGCTTCCAGCAATGCCGTTTGCTGGTCATCTGTTAAGGTCAAGCATATCCAGAAGGTACAGCATCCCTTTGATGATGGATGATGGATGAATGTACGAGTATTTCTTTTTGTTCTGCACCTACCAAGGAGCCAGGCCTTCAGCTGTATTTTCTGTGCAAGTAAGTTTAATTCGATTCCTTGCTGCATTCATACAAGGATTATTATTGAATGTTTATTCAGATTATAATTTAAATCAAATTAAATCAAATTGGAAATGGCTTGTGTCCCTTCAGCTAATCAGTTGCCGCATGTTGCCAGTTCAGTGCCGAGAATCTGAACAGCAGAACTCCAAGTTTTCTGTATTATATTATTATTATTATTATTATATTATTATTATTATATATTTATTTTATTTTTTTAAAAAACAATTAAGTAAATTTAGTAGTTTTAAGCGGAAAAGAAGTGACACAATTATAGAAACATTTAAGGTGCCATTTGAGGAATTTTTCGCGTCTTAGTTTTTGCATCTTCTGTTTCGCAAAGATTATCATGAAGCATGTGGCATGTACTGCTCGTATCTTTGGGGATACTACAAAATTTCTATTCGTTTCTTCTGCTAGCTAGAAAAAAGGAAAAAAAATATCCAAACCCAAAGCCAAAATAGGGGGAAAAATAGAAAACGAAAATATATTTAAAAATCGAAAAGCTGATTCGACTCCTGCCCCTGCCCCCTTCCCTCACTGCCATCCTGCCCTTCTTCCCTCCTCCTTTGTCCCCTTTCTTATGGAGTGCATGAAAAATTACAAGTCAGCTTCACAATTGAAATATTTCCGCCTCAACGCACTGAAATGCGCAATCGAAAATAGTTATCTCTCGCCCGGCACCCACAGCCCCCACATCCCTCCCACATGCCCCTGGCTTGTGCCTCCTGGTACCAGAAATATGCATGCAATCGATGGGTGGAAGCGTGGCTCAGGGGGTGCCTGCTGCACGGATGTGGCAGCAGCAGCAGAACTCGCCTACGAACGGGGACATCGATGGGCGACACATATGTGCATTATGTGTGGCGTGGTTGGGTTCCCAGTCGCCAGTCGCCAGTATCCCCCCCCAGTATCTGGAATGCCCGATTCTGGTCCGAGAAATTTCCATATTTGATTGTTTTTGAACGCCTGCCGCAGGACGAAGGGAGAGGCCAGAGATGCAGGGACAGCGAGATCTGCGGCGTCTGTTTATTGAAAATGGCATATAAAAATCGAGTGGGCGTGGTCCGTGGTCCGATTGTCGATTGCCGATAGCCCGAATGTGGAATGAGAAATATGGGCTGCGGCTGGGGCATAACATAAAATACGTACGTGCGAGTACGTATACGTATACGTACTTTGAGGGTGCACATACATTCATACATATATTTACATACATACACGTTACAGGGGGGGAAAGATTCATATGCATAGCCTGGCCCCACAGCCTTCTTCTCCCCTTTGCATTCCGCCTAACCAAACATCATCCAAAATGATAAAAAATATTAAGCAAAAAACAAAAAAAAAACCAGGCAAAGGGACGGCAGTGGAGGGGCGGCTGAATGCAGCAACGTTTCGAGTGCCCCGTTTTGTTTTTCTTCTTTTCTTTTTTCCGATGACGGGCTTACTTTCGAAAAGTGATATCTGAATGCTCATGGCCATCGAACAATCCATCAGCCTGCGAGCCTGCAAACTGCGTCCTGCGGGCCAGCTCTGGCCGCATGCAAAAGAATTTTCCCAAAATGTAACTCAAGGGGGGCAGGGAGGCACAACTCGCAGCACAATAATGTACATGGCAGCAGAAACATATTTATGCATGCCAGCATTCAATGGGAAATCCAACTAGAAAATTGCAGCCCAAAATCCATGGCCAGTGCCAAGCCCAATGGACAGTCTTATATACCCCGCGTGCGGCGTGCAGCGTGACAGACAGACAGACAGCATGCAAAACATTCTCAGTGACACAAAAGCGAAACGGAATCGGTAGGACAGAAAAAAGCGCACAACTTGCAGCAAAAAAAGCACAAACAAATAAAAAAAAACGCAAGCAAATAAGCAGAAAAAATTAAGCACTCATGACAAAGCGAAAGTCGGATAATGCCATAACAGCACAACGGCAACAACAGCAACACAGAATAACATTATAAAGTATCATGACAACATTTTTTGTTTGTTTTTTGTTCGTGCAACTGCAACTGCCGCGCCGCTTCGCGCTGACAGTCAAAAAGTTGCCACAGAAAACAATTTTCCGTTGCAATCTTTATACGAACAGTACTCCCCACCCCGCCAGAGGGGCGGTCGGCAATGAAGAATATTTTTGGTTTTATTTTATCCGTATGTAGGGCTAAACAAATTCGAGCTTCTTTCTGGCTTTAAATGAAAATGGTGGAAAACATTATTTTATTTATTATTATTATTTATTATATTTTATTTTATTTTTTTATTTTTTTTTTTTTATTATTATTTATTTATTATTATTTATTATTATTTATTTATTTATTATTTATTTATTATTATTTATTTATTATTTATAACTATGGTATTAATTTCATATTAATTGCTGACTGAAGTCTTTAATGATTTCTCATTGCCTGCAGCCTGCATAGTGTTCCCCCCCCCCGTAAAGGAATGAGGGCTATGGTTTGCCCAGATGCAGAGACGACTCAATGGCAAGGCAAGGCTGCAGTGAAAATTCTAATCATCCTGGGCAGAGCAACGGATTGAAGAGCTGGATTGGTTGCCACCAAAAGGCAATGCTCGACCATGAGTTGCAAGCTGCCAACTTGAATGTAAATTCATGCTGCAAATCAATGCAAGGATGCCAAGGATCCAAATATTAATTCTAATTTTAATTTTAAACAATTCTCAAGCCTCAAACAGGCAATTCGCAATGAAATTTGAAATTGTGGAATTCTACTTTTGGTTGACAACTTCCAAGAAATAAATATATACATACATACATATGTGTGTGCACCGGAAAATGTTGTTAATAAAGTGAAAATTCCAATGGGCAGAAATTCGTGTTCTTTGCCCCACTTGTTTTACTGTTTCAACTTAATCAGGTTTCAGACTGCTGATTGAGTCTTATTCTTGCACTTTTCACACATGCCGTAAACATGATTTTCCCCCCCGCTTTTCACTGTTTAAAGTTAATTTACATTATGCAGACAGAGCGTGGGAGAGGGGGAGATAGAGCTTTATCCTGCGCTGGTGGGGTGTGGCTGTTGCTCTGACTGATGGGTCATTGATAGACGAGAAAGACACGCATATTGCAGCCACACTCCCTGGCTGCAGCCTGGCTCCCTGGCTGCCTGGCTGCCTGGCTCCCCGCTGCCTGGCTGGGATCCGTCAATCCCAGCCACAAAATCAAGCCACATTGATGGAGCCGTCAACGGCAATGAAAAACCAAATGAGCGACGCGACGCTTTGAGCGCTACTCTCGATTAACACGTTGCGGCAGTCGGCTGCCAATGAGTGGGCTGGGAGCTACGGCACGATATTTGACTCAAGCAGGGGTCACGGCATCAAACTGCCATCGATGCTGACCAGGAGGAGGCAGTGCTGCGACTGGGAGGAAGCAATTTAAAGGAAATGCAACTCAAAGGCAAATGCCAGCAACTGGCGATGGGAGTAGTGGGGTGATGATTGGCATCCTTACTGGGGTCTGGAGCTGGGGCTGGTGCTTGAGCTGGTGCTGGGACTTTTATCATCGCTGGGAGATGGCCTGTGAATCCCTTCTGACATTGACAAATAGCGTGGGAAGTGGAATGCAGAATGTAGAATGCAGGCGCGCACCCATCCCACGCCACCCCACCCACGCATGCACACATGCCGCAGGCATGCCGTGGCAAAATGTGTTGCGATACTTGTGGGCGCAAATTATTGCCAGAAGGCAGCTGCTGCTGCTGCTGCT